ATATGGACACAAGGCTGTTGGTCTTAACTCTGAGATGGGCCTGAGACACAGGCCACCCATGTGGACAGCATGTGATTGAGCCCCATGAGGACCCTGTGCACTGAGGCTCGGGGTGCTTCAGACTCTCTCCTTCACCAAAATTTAGTCAGGCTCTTCTCAGTCCTCTTCTCAAGCAGGCCTCCACCTTCCCCTTCCCTGTCCTGTCCCCGTTGGCCCCCATCACTCAGTCTCAGCAGGAACCCTGCTAAATCTGATGAGTGAGACTCCCGCACTGTGAGCTCTGATCACTTTGATACCTGATCAAATTCCTCATCTCCCGCAATTGATGAATCCGCCCATAACCTGCCTTTATCGAGAATCCTGTTAGGAAACTTCAGCAGGAATCCCCTCCGCTTGGTGTCTCCTCTCAGTAATTTTCCCTCCACCACGCCTCACTCTGCTCCTTGGCTATAAACCCCCAGTGTCTGTGCTGTGTTCGGGCTTGAGCCCAGTGTGTCTGCTCTACAGCAATGGGCTCCACACCTGTCACCACTGTCCTGAATGCTGCCTGCCTCATCATATTAAAGTCTATCAGGACCATATTTTAAGCACGGTATGCATCCCTGGTTGACAAAGCCCCACGTACACTGATACACTGAACTCAGGACTGTAATGCGTCTTCAGGACAAGAGAAACTTCATGTTTGAAACCCTCCCAGACTCTGCCCTGTGGCTGCTGGGAACCCACATCCTTCCCTGTAGTAAATGGGACCTGGGAGTCTGCCGGCTATCAGGGAGTTCTGTGTATCCTTTTCAGGAGTTCTCCAGCGTTAGGGTGGTTGTGGCATCCTCCAAATTTGTCACTGTTGTCAAGAGTTAGGACAATCTGGGGACTGTGCACTCAGACTTTGCAGTCTGGCTAACACCGCGTACATAGAATTTGTTTTAAGACCAAATCTCACAGCTAGAGGGGTCCTCAGGGATCACTTCCCTGACCTATGCCCTCTTCCAAGCCTGATGCCCTGTATCCATCCAGGTGAAGGTCACTGAGTTCAACCACTTCCCCACCTGACTGGGAATCAGGAGAGAGGTTATTAATCCTGGTTCTCCCTGGACTCTCCAGCCCACCTCACCGACTCCCAACCCACCACCCTGTACCCCCGAGCTCTCAGGTGTCACCAGCCTAACTCAACCTTAGCTGGGGCAGCTTCATTTGCGTGCACCCCAAGGCCATGTGCAACTCGATGGACCCTCTAAAAGATTCAAGACTTTATGAAACATCCATATGAATTGCTAATCCTGAAAGGCCTGCGTTTGGATGAGCTGGTAGAGGAAATATTATCCTGTTTGGTGGGGACTTGACAACCTCCTCAGAATCACACAAATCACACAAAACTGGCAGCCCCTCATTCTGACAATGGAGTCATGACTCAGCCACACCACATTCAGACTTGTCAGGCTACTCTATGTGGAATAGAAGAGGGTCCCACATGGCATACAAGACCCCTGGGCCCCCAGGCAGGGTGTGGAGGACACAGTCACCCTGGGCCCTCTATGCCCAGCATCAGCAGATCGAGTCAGGGAGGGAAGAACTGTCCCCTCTCCCACTCATGGCAACTCTGATAGCATCACAGCCCCTTCAGCTTTGTGTTCTAGGGGTCACTCCCCTCACTCTGGTCCTGGCCCTTTGCCAACACATTCTACTAGTTCCCCCACCTGAACCTCTCTCTCCATCCTGAGCCTTGGGTGCGACCCTGGTCCAGGCCTCCCTGGACCTTTGCACGACATGCCTGCACTTGGTTCCCCACCTGTGGCCACGTGGTTCACTCTAAAGCCATCACCACAGTCCATCAGATTGAACTGCATCTCCCCCTGTACAGATGATAAATCTGAGATCCAAGACATAAGCCCAGAGTCCCAGAGTTGGGCCAGGATAGAGCCAGGACCTAGCTCAGCTCCATCCAATTCCACCCCAGCCTCTCTGCCCTAGAGACCCGGGTCCTGCAGTGTCTGCACAATTGCTAAGATGGGGATACCAGGGCTCCAGTCAGAAAGAACCCCCAGGACACAAACTGACGCTGTCAGCAGTTTTCTGACTCATCCCAAAGGAAATCCTCCTTTGTCCTCATCTCCAGGAACAAGATCCTTGGCCCTGATCTCTTCCCAAAAACCTTTTTCAAAGTTAACATGAATGGAGTACCTACTACAAGTCGGCCATTATACTAAGCACTTGGCGTGTATTATCTCAGTTTCCTCACAATAACATTGAACAGATGAAGAAACCAAGGCAGAGAGTAGTTAAGTAACTTGTCCGAGGTCAATAACCTGCCTTGCAGTTTCATCTCTTCTCAACCTGAGGCCGTTCACCGCCAGCAAATGACATGGAGGAAAAATTCCTCATGGATTATTGAGAAGGAAATCCTCGATCCCAACCCTAGGATACTGCCTGGAGGAGGTGTGCCTTCCAGGAGGAACCTAGCCACGGTGGGGGCTTTAGTTGACATTCCTGGGGCACCCACACAAGTCACCTTGATAAATTTTCCTCCTTCTCAAATCTATTTAGGACTTCAGTCAGCAGGTGTAGGAGTTCCTCGCTGTTCAATATGTTCCAGAGGCACTCAATGACAGCCTCAAAAAACCACTCCTTATCTAGATGGAAAGAAAAAAGAATAAAATTAGCCAAAATTGCAGTGCAACACGATTTGTCTTCAGCACAAAGTGGTCACAGTTCATCTTCCTGAGCACTGTTCCCCTGGGTACTGTTGATGGAGTCACCCGGTGCTTTGGGCAGGACTGGGCCCTCCGCAAATTCATATGTGCAAACCCTGACCCCGCACGTGACTGAATTTAAAATTAGGACATTTCAGGAAATAATTATGGTTAAATGAGGTCATAAGAGTGGGGCCCTAAGCCAGTAAGGCGGTGTCCTTATTAGAAGAGGAAGTGGTGCCAGTCCAGCTCTCTCTCCACACTGAGAAAGGTCTGTGTGAGAACAGGACCAGAAGGCAGCAGGCACTGACACCCAGGACAAGAGGCCTCACCAGGACCCAACCCTACCTGCTCTTGCTAGTGAGCGCAGTAGTGTATACAGAAGTAGAAATATAAGGATCTGCGCCCGCAAGTTACATAAACCGATGTTACTTTAATTTTTAAAATAACTCAGAATCCAGAGCTTTGAGTCAAAGTACCAGGTGAGAGACTCCTCCCGTGAGTCACAGACGCCAGGCCGGGAGGGGAGGGGCTTCCTCAGAGGCGTGAGGGGCGGGACCTCAGCTCTGAGCCTGTGGTCCATCCCTGTCACCTCTCTCTCACCCAGGCTGCTCCCAGGGGCACAGCTCCCACTGGCTCCACTGAGCCCAGATGGCCCGTTTATACACAGGAGACCGTCTTGTTTCTGAGGAGAGCTGATCCTCAGGGCTCCCGCAGCCCGGCCTCCCTCACGGGCCCCAGGGCCGGCTGGGGGGCCCCTGGCTTCTACTCTGTGCCCCCCCTTGTTAATACTTGGCCAATTTGCTCTCCTGGGCAGCCCCTTTGACAGAGTGATTTAGTTGCTTAGTAGTCCAGTGATGGGGGCAAAGTGGTCCTGAGAAAACAGGAGTCAAGGAAACACAGTGATGATTTCAGTGCATGGAGAGTTGCTAAGTGTTTTCTCTCTCCTGCATCACTAAGGGTGAAAGGCAACCAGGGCTTCCGTGGGGGGAGCTCCCAGCACTGAATCTGTGTGTTGATTGATTGGGGTGAGGCGGGTGGGGAAATGCCTGAGGGACTGGGTGTCTGCAGGGGGATCTGAGGGCAATAGGATTAGAAGCTGCCTGAGGCAGTCCTGCCTGGTAAAGAGGTGCCCTTAATTAACCTTGGGGGTGGGGGGTGAGAATTCTGGGGTGCAGAGAGGCCCCACCTGGGACACACAGGGACAGCAACAACACTCAGGAGGACCTGCTCCGGGGCAGGCACTGGCCCAGCCAGAGACCTACGTTATATTTGATCCTCAGAACAACATGAGGGAATATCCTTCCCATTTTACAGGGGAGGTCAGGGAAGGTACTCCAGGTCACACAGGTGGCAGGTGGCAAAGGACAGTCTTTCGTTCCATTCGGGGGTCCGCCGACCCTGGCAGAGCAGTGGGGCAGGCAGCAGAGCTTGAGGAATGGGTTTCGATTGGTAACAGCCCAGAGTCTGAGAGCAAGTGTAGCCTAGACTAAGGGAGAGGGCAGAGAAGCCTCCAGGGTTGCTGGTCTACCTCCTCTCTCTTCACCTCCCTGGCCTCAGGACACCCCTTACTATTTCATCATCTGCTTCCCAGGCCTTCCCCTGCCCCACTCAGAGCATCTGCTGTGTGGTGGGGGAGGGAGGGAGTGAGCACCTTGGCCGTGGCCCCCGGAGGAGAAGGCCATGAAGGAGCCTGTGGGG